CCCTCTTCTTCAGCTGGAGCTGGTGGCGAGCTAGAGGCGGCTGTGAACACCTAGTTTTTTGGGGGTTTTTTTTTTTTTGAGACACAGTCCCACTCTGTCACCCTCAGTAGAGTGCTGTAGCATCACAGCTCACAGCAGCCTCTAACTCTTAAGCAATTCTCTTGCCTCAGCCTCCCGAATAGGTGGGACTGCAAGCGCCTGCCACAACACCAGCTATTTTTGTTGCAGTTGCCACTGCTGTTTTTAGCTGGCCAGGGTTGAGTTTGAAGCCACCACCCTCAGTATATGAGGCTGGCGTCCTACTCACTGAGCCACAGGGCTGCCCTAGTTTTTAGATTTTTATTTATTTGTTTGTTTGTTTATTTTAGAGACAGAGTCTCACTTTGTCACCCTGGGTAGAATGCTGTGGCGTCATTGCTCACAGCAACCTCCAGCTCTTGGGCTTAGATGGTCTCTTGCCTCAGCCCCCCGAGTAGCTGGGACTACAGGTGCCCACCACAACACCCGGCTATTTATTTGCTGTAGGTTGCCTAGGGCCGGGTTTGAACCCACCACCCTTGGTATATGGGGCCGGCGCCCTACTCACTGAGCCACAGGCACTGCCCGATGTTTGTTTATTTTTTAGAGACAGGGTCTCATTCTATTGCCCAGGCTGGGGTGCAGTGCCACAATCATAGCTTGCTGTAACCTTGGACTCATGGGCTCAATAAAATCCTTCTACCCAGATGGTTTTTAAAATTGTTCTTGCATTTTCATGGACGACATAGCATGAAGAATGAATTTCTCTTATTTTTTAAATTTTTTTGAGTTAGAGTCTCACTCTGTTGACCTGGGTAGGGTGCTGTGGCATCATAGCTCACAGAAGCCTCAAAGTCTTGGGCTCAAGCTATCCTCTTGCCTCTGCCTCCCACATAGCTGGGACTACAGGAACCCACCACAACACCCAGCTAGTTTTTTTATTTCTTTTTAGTTGTTTATTTATTTTTAGTAGAGATGGGGTTGTTCTGTTGCTTAGGCTAGTCTTAAACTCCTAAGCTCAAGCAATCCACTGTCCTTAGGTGGATCCCAGGTGTTAGGATTATAGACATGAAGCCACCACACCTGGCCCTACTTGCCCAGTTTCGGTGCAGTAGATGTCCAGTAAGTCTTACTGGGTTGATTAGGTAGGATCATGTAGAAAGTGTGCTAAAAAGACTGCCAGAATCAAAGGCATGAAGTGTCAGTGTTGTTGGCAGTTTTCAGTGCCCAGCTCACCTTCTCCGTCTCCCCATTGTACTTTTCAGCTGCGTAGTATCTGTCATAGGAATTTATTAGCCCTCTGCCCTTTTCAGGGCTGCCTCTTCTCATTCTAATAAGCCATTCTTCATGCCTCCTCTTCCTCCATGGCCTCTTTCAAGGGTTTTGAAAGGATCTTTGTTACTGACAAGGTTGAAAACGAACTGAGTTGTGTGATGTTGTGCTTGTGAATGCTGATTCCAACTCTTCCCTTGGTGCTTCTACAGGGTGTGGCCAGTAGAGGCCAGCTGTGGGGGTTGGGGGTGTAGTCTGTATTCTGTTCAGGAATCTCCACTCATAATGGCTATCATTTACTTAGTTGGGTGATCTAGTTAATGATTCCCATGTAGTACTTCATTTTAATTATTGCAAGAACCTTCCAAAGCTGGAAGGAAACAGAGACTTGGAAAACTTGAGCTGTTTGCCATGATCATGTAGCCACTAAAAGTGGCAGAACCAGAACATTGGTTCAGTCCTGCCATGCTCTGAAGTTCGTGCTGTGTACTGCCGCACTGTGCCACCTTATGCCTGTTTTATTTTAGTTTGTTTTTGAGAAAGGTCTCACTGTGTTGCCCAAGCTGGCCTCAAATTGAGGTGCTGAAGCAGTCTTCCCACCTCAGCCTCCAGAGTAGCTGGAACTACAGGTGCACACCACTGGGCCCAGCTGTATACTTAGTTTTAAGTAGACGTGATATTCAAGTTGTGTCTTTATGCATCCCAGTACACAGTGTAGAAAGGTTCTACAGTGCTCTGAGCAGAATAAGTACCCTGCCTGTGATAGTTACAGCCATTCCTTCCTCCTCTTAGGGAGAACCCTTCAGCTATCATTGTTTGCATGTGAGGCTTGATAAGGAGGCTTAGGTACTCCTTAGGACTTGTTTGGCTTTGGTCAGGGTTGCTTACGCTTCTTCACCTCTGAGGGAAGAACAGAGGTCCAGGGTGTTTTAGTACCAGGTTGGCAATTTTGGACAAGAGGCTAGAATGTTAAAAGGGCAATGGAATTTCCAGTACATCCTGTCCTCACATTTGTCATATAGTCCATATCTGGGAGAGAGCTTGGCAAATTTGAGAAATGGAAAGAAAGCCAGCATGAGTGCAGCAGGGAGGGGCAGAGTGGCATGAAATTAGGTCAGAGATGGGAAGAGGCAGGAGCTGATCAGGCAGAATCTTGAAGGTTGGAGTTTGGATGTTCTCCTGGGCAGAGAGGAATTGGGGGCAGGGGTTAAAAACCAGAGCATTGGCTTGGTCCTGTTGATGCTTCAAAGGTCAGTCTTCTACTGTCCTTAGGCTGACCTCACTCATGCCTGCCACTTCTGTCCTCCAGAGCCTTGCTTCTCTGCTCTGCCATCTCCCCCACCATCTTAGGTATATCAACCTAGTGTTTCTCTGTTTACTTTTCCCAATTCTGCAGGCTTCTCCAGAAAGTAGTTTATAAGAGCCCCATGCTTTGCAGAGTATGGATTCCCTCCTTCAGAGAGGATTTTATGGAGGTAGTGTGTGATCAGGGGTAGGGAAGTGCCTATTGGGGAGCAGTAAACAGCGCTCCTTAGGTATAAATGGGAAATAACCATCTGGCAGGATTATTTTACAGACCACCATGGGAAAGGAGATGGGTGGCTGAGTTCAAGTGCCACAAGATGCAGGGGTAGAAAACTGGAATTCGGCCATCAGAAGGCCCTTTGGGAAAGGATAGGAACAATAGCTAGAGTATGGTGGGTGGGGTCTGGCTGTAGGAAATGTGGGTGATTAGGGCACAGTGACACAGATGGTGACAGGTGGCTCAGGGGAGGGTAGCTGGGCTGAGAGAACCAGGTAGTGAGACTGGGGGCCCGAAGTGAAAGTGGTTAGCAGGAGGTGAGAGCACATTCACAGCCCCCAGGCTGGAGGGATGAGCTTACCCAAGAAACTAGGGGAAAGGGCTACCTGGAGCAAGAGTTTCAGGAAGGTCAGATTTTATTTTTTCATGTTTATCAAGTATCACTTAAGGCAGACTAAGATTAAAAACTTTAGACAAAACGTGCGCTATCTATAGTCCAGTCTGTGGGGTCTACTGACCCACCTAGTAACCAGAAGGGGCAGGTGTGGTTCTACTGGAGACCTTTGTCAGAGCAGCAGCAGTGGCAACTGGTGGGCCCTCTGCACACGGCACAGCCCTGATGTGGATGGGGAAAGGGGTGTACCAAAGGGGCCTGGGCACTGCTGGCATCCTTGGTGACTTCAGGCAAGCAGTCAACTTGCTAGTCCAGTAGTTTTAGCAGAAGACCCCTCTTCACAAAATGAAAGATTGCATGCAACCCCAATATATGACGGATACAAAGCTTTATAACCATAATGTATTTTGTAAGTTGAGGGGGTAACTGTTATAATGAGCAGGAGAAATTGGAAATAACATTGTGAATGACAGATGTAGTCTTATCCCCAGTGTCCAGTTTATTTTTGACTTTATTTTGTTGCAAATGGTGATAGATTTTTTTCCCCTTACCTTATTTTTGGGATAGTCTTCTCTCAGATACATGGCAAAAGAAGCTTTATTTCAAGGCAGGTCTGCATAAAAAACAGTTTACCAGGTTAATGTGTCAGAGGCATCGATTGCAGGCATGCTCAGAAACAAAACGTATCTGCAGGCGTCAAACAAACATCTTGTGGTTTGGGGGCTTCAGGTGTTTTGTTTTGTTTTGTTTGTTTGAGACAGTCTCACTATGTCACCCTTGGTAGAGTACCATGCCATCATAGCTCACAGCAACCTCAAACTCTTGGGCTTAAGTGATTTTTTTTGCCTCAACCTCCCAAGTAGCTGGGACTACAGGTGCCTGCCACAATGCCTGGCTATTTTTTGGTTGTAGTTGTCACTGTTTAGCTGACCCAGACTAGGTTTAAACCCGCCAGCCTGGGTGTATGTCGCTGGTGCCCTAACCACTAAGCTTCGGGTGCCAAGCCACTACCTGTGGTTTGAAAATGCTCAGAGCCAGTGTTCCTTCCCCAAGTACTGCCTCACAGAGCTGGCAGGGAATGGACAACTCAGGCAGATAACATTGCTTCTCAGAGAGGCGACATAGTGGGTGAAGCATTGGTGACAGCAGTTCCATCCCGTGTGAATTTGGGTGGAAACAGATTTTTAAAATGCTATTTTGTATGACTTTAACTGTTCTCAGAGAGTCACATGTTCATCTCTAGGGGTAGGGAAGTCTGCTGTGCGCACAGTGTGCCCAAAGGTGCTTCTCTTAACTTCTTGCCAGCTGAGATATGCCCCCAGCAATTGCTCGCACCTTGTGTATTTGGCTCTGCCTGATTTTTATTAAGTACTGAGTTGTTTTTAAAAAGTAGATTAGTTCTTTAAAAAATATTATGGCTCGGCGCCTATAGCTCAACGGGCTAAGGCGCCAGCCACGTACACCTAAGGTGGCAGGTTCGAATCCTGCCCTTCCCAGTCAAGAGAGTAAATCACAAATAC